TTTTTTTTTAGTTGCTAAGCTCTGGTTGTGTTCACTGAATTATTATATTTCAGATGTGTACAATTGGATTGGATTTATCATTTGCTTTGGATGGTTTCTTACTTAAAAATATTCGTGACACTCTAAAGCACAATAAAGATCTCTTGATGGAAGCTACCAAACACAGAACTATGGTAAATATCTTTTTAAACTTTAGATAAATTAGGCAGTGTAAACAGCTTAATTTTCACTGCTAAAAATTATGGTATTCATGAAGACACTCCATAATTCACTACGTTCAACTACCGACCATAGACTCTGGTCAGTCAAAATGACTATTTTGAACTGTAGGCATTAATCAGCAATTCTGCCGGTGACGAAGAGATAGAATCTAGGTCAGGGGAAGCCCCATGACCCCAGGATTCTTTTCCCTAACGTCACGAACCAGGTGACCGAGCTCATATGGCGGCTCCATTAGGGCTGGATATCCAATCTGCTTCTTCTCCGCATCGAGGACTCAGACTAACGCTACGGAAAGAGTGTATGCTCGAGGGGGGGGGGCTGAAGCTAGCACTAGTGAGTTAGGAATCGCACATACCTCATGAAAGGGCGTCGCCAGACTGTTCCTCACCCCTGGAAGGTGGTGTGCGGTTAGCTCCACATGGTATTCCAGGCACCAAAAAAAGGATTTGGTTCGCTAGGACTGACAACGATGGGGAACGTGTCCGCCCTCCTTCTTGAAGAAGCCACTGCTACATTTGAGATCAAGTCTCGCGTCTCTGCCTGGATCGCCTGTTTTTTTCCTGTCCTTGTTTTTGCTTGGCTTGTTGCAGCTGCACGGCATCCGACATTGTAGCTGGTAGGATAAATTTTCCATTTTTACCCGCGTGTGGTTTTCCCCTTTATGTGTATTATTTTTCACAACAAAGAAATAAAACCCTGGCGACGTAGCTCAATCACTTGTTGGTTTCGTTACGTCTCCTTTTCCTACTGTAATTCGCTTCCCTCATGCATGTCTTCATTTTATGCTTGATCTAGGTATTTAGAAATGAATAGATATAATGACAGCACCAGGGCTCGTTACCGTTTTTTTTGGTCTCCTTGTGTTTCGAGTCGACTGTGCAGTGGTTGTATTCAGAATTTACCAGCATAGAACCCACTACCGAAATACTTTTGTCGTAGCTGCGTGCGGGGTTCGGGGTTTTTGTCGTGAAGGCGTGTTTTTCACTGGAGTTCTGAGGCCTGAGATTTTTCTTTCAGAGCCATCAAGATCGCTGAGACTGACCGCGTCACTCGTTTCTTCACAGCAAGGTCGCGCGTCAAGTAAAAAAATCGGTTAAAGTGAGTTGCGTGTTTGGCATGAGTGGAAAGTCCTCACGCTCGGCTACCGGTGCTTCGTGTACGGGGACGTCGAGTAGAAGGCCCGATGGTGGAGGTACCGATATTTTTTCTCGGTTTCCCCCGCTGAACGGAGGGCATCCTCACAGTCTGTTTTTTCAGGCAGTAGTTTACCCGCTGCAGCGAGGCTGTGCCCCTGGAGGCTTTCCTCCTATGGGGCCCCTTGCGGATCCCTTTGTGGACCCTTCCTCGCACGGCGCCGGGTTTGTCTCCGAGTTGAGGGCTTTGGTCAAAGGACTGTCGGGGCAATTGCGTCCCTGGCAGGCCAGGTAGATCAGACAGAGTCGGAGCGAGCTGTCTCCACTGCGGCCCCTCGGTGGGCAAGCAGGAAGAAACACGAAAGCATGTTTGCATTCAAACACGTCTCTTCCGGGAACCCCCGTTCCCAGTCGTGGCTCTCCCACTAATTTGGATGAGGCCGAGGCTCAGGCTAATTGCACCAGGCCTCCTCTGGAGGTGCTGGCAGCCAAGCCTCCGATCTTGGGGCAGGGCTTTCAGGGCAGGGCACACGTTGACCCCCCCTACTTTCAGCCAGCCGGGGTTCACCATGCGGTACTGGTACAACGGTAATGAATTTATCCTTGTGTCCGGTCTCCGCTGTGGGTTTTGACTCCCTTCTTACCAACCCACGGGCCTCCCCAGAGGGAACCGACCCTGCCATAAGACGCACAGTCAAACACCCTCTCTCTCACATATTTAAAGTGAAGGGAGACACAGTTCGCTCGTGTTGGATACAGCCAGTACTTCGGGCGGTCCTTCAGAGTCTTCCATCCATAATGCGGAGTATCATCGATAGTGATACGATGTAAAATACCCCACCCCTGATCCTAAGGCGACCACCTAGGGTTGCTTCAACGCTTATGGGCGTCGGGATCCAAGCAACCCTGTCAGCACGTCTCTCCCTGTTCGTCCGAGTGCGGAGTGGGACGCAGGGCGCGCAAACGGTGTTGATGGGTGGACGTTGGTCAGCCGCAGAGGAGGTAACGCTTAAGGCCTCCGGGTGGGGAAAAACCTTAGGCAACACTTCATGCTGGACCAAACGCTACCCGGTCGGTTTGGTTTCGGGATCAGACCCATAGTGTGGAATGAGACCAAAACACCCCCAACTGGATCACAAGGCTCCTTCCCCAGACCCCGGTACCACAAATTTCCGTTTGGCAAACTGGGCAAAGGGGGACAGTCGCGTTCCATGGGCGTTCTTGCCAATCAAAGACAACCCATCGAGCCCTGAGGGCAGAGTTGCTTGATCTCGTTATTGTGCGCACCCAGGACTCTGGAGACCTCGGCGGCATAACGCACCAGCCTCCTAGACCAGGCGACACATTTACTGGTGGGCCACCGCACATCTACGTGACGACAAACTGAGTCAGTGGGTACGTCCCCACCTTGTTCGGGTAATGGCAGGTACAGTCTCGGAGCTTCAGAGTGCAATGAACCAGAGCGTTCAGATCGAATCCGCTAGCCAGTTGGCCCTGCCAAGGGTAAGTGGAGGGCACCCCAAGCACAGAAAACACAATGCCCTAGGGCGTCGTCCGCTAGCCAGGAGGCAAGGGAGGGAGGGAAGAGTAGCGGCACGTCCCCAGGGAGGAAAGGGCCAGGTGGTGGCTCCCAACCCTCCTCGGGTTGTTGTCCTACCCCGGCAGCTGCAACCGGGGGGACAAGCATGTGTTCGGCGAGTGGCCAGGTCACAACTTAGTGACTACTTCAGGCCTTGCGGAAACTCACCTCATGGGAGAAGAGAGCACCCCTCCTCGCAATAGCCGAACCCATGGCCACATATCCCTGTCATACACAGATTGCACCAGTGTAGTCCGGTTTGGGAGACAGCGGGTCCCTGGACCTTTCCAGGTGGTGACATTTTGTTACGGGATACCGCTGAAATCTCCATCTCCCTCGTCAGTGTCTCCCCAATTGGGCACTGCCAGAGGACTCCCGCAAGGCGGAAGCAATCACGCAGGAAGTAGCAGTTTTGCTGGGAAAGGGCACCGTACACCCAGAACTAAGGCCAGGCTTCTACCCAAATGTGTTTGTAGTACCAAAATCTACAAGTGGCGGGCGTCCAGTTCTGAACCTAGGCAGACTGAATCAGTCCGTGTACCTTGATCGGTTCCACATGGAGACTCCATTTAGGGTTCTTGTCTTCATCCACCGTTTCGACTGGCTAGCCCCACTAGACTTAAGCGGGGCCTACCTGCGCATACGGATACACCCAGCGAGTTGCCATCTCCTTCGAATCGCCCAGCCGGGCCAAGTATTCAAATATCGGGTGCCCCCCTGCTCGGGTTATGCACAGCGCCCTGATGAAACAGTGCCTAGCCGAACGCCTAGTCAGCGTTCCCTCAGTGTCCCTCTGAGAACTAATGTGGATCATCGGAATGATGACCTCGGTTTGAAGGGTGGTTCCCCAGGCTGCACTACACAGCCGCCCGGTACAGCGTTTGTTGTTACAATATCGAGCTCTCCTATGGGGACTAGATAGGCGGGTTTCGATCTCTGACCAAGTGAAGGAAGCCCTGCCCTGGTGGTCGTCACTGGCCAACCTCGGACAGGGGGCCCCCTTGGACCCACTCGGGTTGGGGACCGCATCTATTGGACGAACAAGCCCAAGGATATGGCTACCGCATTAGTTTCGGGACTACCATATCAACCGGCCCGAATTGAAAGCAGTGTACTTAACACTACCACGCTTTCTACCCGTAGTTCGAGATGACAGAGTCCTGCTCCGCACAGGCAATGTAGTGGTGGCTCCTTCAAGAAGGAGGGCGGGCACGTTCCCCATCGTTGTCAGTCCTAGCGGACCAAATCCTCTATTGGTGCCTGGAATACCATGTGGAGCTAATCGCACACCACCTTCCAGGGGTGAGGAAACAGTCTGGCGACACCCTTTCATAAGGTATGTGCGATTCCTAACTCACTAGTGCTAGCTTCAGCCTCCCCCCCTCAAGCATACACTCTTTCCGTAGCGTTAGTCTGAGTCCTCGATGTGGAGAGAAAGGAACCAGAGTGGATATCCAGCCCTGATGGGGCCGCCATATGGGCTCGGTCATGTGGTTCATGACGTAAGGGAAAAGAATCTTGGGGTCACAGGGCTTCCCCTGTCCTAGACTCTATCTCTCTGTCATTGGCAGAATCGCTGATTATTGCCTACAGTTCAAAATAGTCATTTTGACTGACCGGAGTCTATGGTGGGTATGAACTATGTGAATAGGCGGGTTCGGAAAACCCTCTAATTCTACTCGTCCTCGAGAATGCCATAAAATTGAAGTGGTTTATAATAGGTGATATGTACAAGTTGCATTTTTTGCATGTTTCAATCATATTTATATTAATTACAAGTCGCAATTGTTACCTACATTCATTTCCAGGATGAGAAATGGCGACCTTTGAACTTACAGAACTCTCAGTCAGCGTCTCAGTTATCTCAAGAAATGTTGCAACTTGGGATTGCTAATTTCAATTCTCATATTTATGGTGAGTTTACCTGTGATACATACTATCAGTTTTATTCAATCGTCTCTAAATGAAATTTTCATCTCGTGACAATGCAGTTAAATCAGATAAAACGTTTTTTCTAAATTTCAGACAAGTGTTGGGTGAATCTGTCTTCCAGTACTGTTATGTTTACTAAAGCTTTTATTAATTTTCTTGACAATGAAATGAAGTTGTATATCCCTGAGGTAAGTGAGAATTGTCAATACATCGCCTTAAAATTATAGTGAATTTCATGTTTATTTCATGAAAAATAACCTCTTCTTAAAAACAAACAAAAAACACTGATTACGTCACTGTTTAATGTGGTTTTTAGTGTACCAATAGATGCTTTAAAGTGGGGGAGTCGTCACTTGCGCACATGCAGGAATTGAGTCCCAAGTGATGAGAACAACACACGCTAAGAATGCAAAGGCTCATGGTAGACCCTTGTTTGTAAACAATGACACACTATGGCCATCTGACGCATGCGCAATCAGCTAACAAAATCTATCAAACAGTTTTTTGTTTTGTTTCTGTGACAGACTATAGTAGATATGCCTTGGGTGCACCTCTCATCAGATTTGTCTACATGTATTCTTATTGGTAGCACTCATTTCAGTAACTAATGCCACATATTTTTATTCTGTAGTTGTATACAGATATAGTGGATAGCATGATGGAGGTGTTACAGCATTACGTCGATATTCTGGCATCATTCGCTGTCAGCGATAGACACACTAGAGAACGAGAATTTATCCTACAGAACATAGAATTTATATTTAATACTATGATTCCACTGACAGAAACCAAGACTAAGGTAAACTTTATTATAGTACTTCTGGGGTGATGTGGGTTGAAGGTAAACTTTATTATGGTACTTCTGGGGTGATGTGGGTTGAAGGTAAACTTTATTATGGTACTTCTGGGGTGATGTGGGTTGAATGTAAACTTTATTATGGTACTTCTGGGGTGATGTGGGTTGAATGTAAACTTTATTATGGTACTTCTGGGGTGATGTGCTTTGAAGGTAAACTTTATTATGGTACTTCTTGGATGGTGTGGGTTTATTTGCCAGAAGATTAGTGTTCATGTGTCCTGGGGATCAGTTCCTGATTCAGCATCTTTTGACACACAATTTTTGATGTACGCTCAGAGGTTGTCAATTACTAAAATAATGGCACTCCATTCGAAAACTAATGTTTGATATTTTGGGAGGGCAAGGGGAAAAAATATAATTTTGTATTGTTTGAGTCAAAATAAAAACTACACAAAAGATGTACCTAGAGATAGACCTGAGTAAATGTGAAATTTACATGATATAAAAAATAAACAACATAGAAAGTGGAAACTTTTGGTTGCAAATGACTATCTGATATTGGGTCTATTTTTCGCTATTGCTTTCCAGATAGAATTTGATAGATTTTGATTTTTTTCACCTGTAACCTTTGAGCATATACACCTCTGGCCTTTATATATCGCTTAAAAATCTGTATTTTAAATTTAGAAATAATTTGACTTTTCAGGATATAATTGGACATCAAGTAAAATCGCTGACAAATCTTTACAAGGAACACCAGAAGATTAAACAACAAGTGGAATCGCTCGGTGTACTTATATAGCCGTAATAGTTAGTCGCATCTGTGCAGCAAATTGCAGAAACTTGCTCCCTATATTGTTGTAATTTGCAACATTTACACATTTTGAATAACATAAATAATTGTGTTATATTGAGACACTTGCATTGCAATGCACCTTTGCACACTGTTCACACATTAGCACAGCTGATTTCTAGTGTGCCTTATTTTCACTCACCAAAATATAAACAGAGTCCAAACACACATACAAATTAAATAAGAGTAAAATATCTGGTTTGTTAAGTTGTAAAAATCCATAGTTGTAAAGTATTGCTTTCCCAATCTTGCGACTTCCTGGAGTGTATATAATACCTGTGTAGAAAAGCCACGAAGTAATTTGGGTATAGAGCCCTCATACTGCCATCATGAAAATTCTTTTTCAATGTTTTTCATGCTGACAGCTGAAATTTTGCAGTGTTTCAGATTATACTATTTCTTGCTTAAATTACTGAGCATGCTTTTGCACTTTTTATCATTGAGAATATCAGTATGTATAGCAACACTTTCAGTGCTCTTGTAAAAAAACAATGTATTTTACAGGCGTTGTGTATTGAACAGAACTCAGTGCGACAACCACCGGCCTTTAAACTTCGAACGCTTTGATATTCTCTATACTACTCCTGTGATGCCAGAGCAATTTTATTTTGTCTCGAAAATGTGTGTTCTCAAAATATGTTGAATTATATGTGCAATTTGTATATTATGTAAATAATAAATGCATCTACAATGCCTAGCCTCATTTTATTATTTTTTGTCCCGATGTAGATTCGTAATCAGCCCACAGTTCTTGTTAATGTAGATTCATGATACATACACTCGGAAGTGTCTGGCATTTCTGAACTTTGAGCTTTGCTAGATGTCATGGTTTGGAATTTTAGATGTGAATGGGAGTTCTTTTGCTACTATTGAACAAGTTGGCCAAACTGGGTTTGAGCCATGACTTTAACAATGGTGGTCAGTACGCATAGTCCATGGGAAATATGGTTGCGATGGTTATACAAAACCAGGCATTACTAAACTTGGAGTTGAGTCAAGTCAAGGTATGGAATTTTGAAGGTAAAAGAGTTGGATGTTTAGTTTATAAGGCGCTTGTCTGTGGTTAGACTTGCATAATGAAGAGAAAATCAGTTGTATAGTAAATGTCAAAACACCAACATTGTGATTCTCAAGTTTTCAATAACTAGTTCAACATTCTAATTGATATATACAAATATTTTTTTTTTGAAGTAATAAATTATCTCACCATTCTTTGCGTCAGCTACCAAATACATTGTTACGAATACCAAATTTTTTTAAGAATGTGTGGACCAAAAGATCGCCCGGGGTGATGTTATGGCAGATATTACAAAGCCCATCTTGTCAGGAAAAATAACCCTTCGCTGATAAAAATAGAGGAAAAACAATGTCGACTGTAGGCCCACCCATAATGTTTATTCTTTGTTTGTG